CAGGGAAATCCCAGCGTTTTCCCTAATTCCTCGTTATCAGAAAGGAGCCCCAGCCTGCCTTCCCCCGGCGGGTTGCTGAGTGTCATGGCCCACCTCGGGGAGGAAAAGTTGGCCAAGTCCCGGTCCTGTTGCAGACACTGCGATTCCTCTTGGGAAGAATGTGCCTGGAATAGAAACAACACAATTGAGGGCAGAACAGGAGCTCTGCAATTCAGTTTGAACAAACCCGTTGCCATAAGGAGGCAGAACGGGCTCCAGCTCTTGCTGTCGTCACTGTGCTCCCCCCACGAGGGGAAATCCCAACCTAAAACTGTACAAACTTAAAGGAAGGAGCCGGGAGTGGGGACAGCCAGGGAGCGGATCCGGGTGCTGCCAGCCTCACACCGTCCCATTCCCAAGCCCTGCCTCACACTCTGAAGGACTTTCAACCACTCAAGAGCCCAGATGGATTCAACACCTGCCATGAAACACTCCCGATGCTGTCAGATGACAAGTTGTCTTGGGGACAGACTCTTTTTATTGTTTGTAACGCTCCTGGGAGCATCATAAAGGGATGGGGGGCGCACAGACAGTTATATAATAAACTAGGAGGAGGGAGCAGAATTCCATTCTCCTAACACGACACAGATGTCTGCTTCCCTCGCTATGGAACTGAGTCAGTAGCTCTCTCTTTCACCAGGTCCTGCTGCCCGTTTGTCCGTGCAGGGAGCGCACGGGTTGTGGCCCGGGGGAAAGTCTCTGCCTCCGGCAGAACCCTCTCAGAGGGGACCAGAAGCTTCTTCCGGGTGTCCATGCACTTGTTATCCAATACCAGGGAATTCGTTTTGTAGCCCAGATCTGTCTGGATGCGGTGAAGTTGTCGGTAAAGAGCATCCAAAGAATTCCTACAAACAGGAAGGGAAAGGAGTCGGGTTCAGGCACCACGTCCACGGCCCAGGCTGGGTGGGAAACACCCAACTTCCCACTCTCTGGCAGCAGCAATCTCTGTGCAGCATTTGCCTTTGCATGAACAACAAAGGCATCAGTTCTTGGTGCTGAGCAGCAGCCCGATTTGGGGCTGTGAGCAGTGAGCCCACGTGCTTCCTATGGAGCCAGGCTGAGAGAGCTGGGCTGGGCCAGCTGGAGAGGAGAAGGCTCCTTAAGGGGAGCCCTTAGAGCAGCTCCAGTGCCTAAAGGGGCTCCAGGAAACCTGGAGACGGGGCTGGGACAAGGGATGTAGGGACAGGACAAGGGGAATGGCTTGAACCTGCCAGAGGGGAGATTGAGATGAGCTCTGAGGCAGAAGCTCTTCCCTGTGAGGGTGCTGAGGCGCTGGCACAGGGTGCCCAGAGAAGCTGTGGCTGCCCCATCCCTGGCAGTGTTCAAGGCCAGGTTGGACACAGGGGCTTGGAGCAACCTGCTCTAGAGGAAGGTGTCCCTGCCCGTGGCAGGGGTTGGAACTGGAGGAGCTTTAAGGTCTTTTCCCACCCAAACCATTTGCTGATTCTGTGCTGCTCCTGGAGCGTGGCACAGAGATCTGCCCAGCCCTTTTCTTTCTTCCTTCACTTTTCACCCATTATTTTTGCACCTCTTAGGACTGTCTGTGCCTGGTGAAGCCAGAACCAAGCAGGGACCATGGGAACCCCCTTCACCCTCCCACCAATGGACCTCTGCTGCCTCACATGCACCATGCTGCCCAGCCCAGCTCCCCACCAAGCCCCAAGACTTATTTCCACTCCTGAGCTGAACAGACACGAGCTAAAAAACACAGCTTCTGGAAGCATGCGAGCTCCAGGGCTGCTCCCAGCCATGTTCCTCACATGGGCAATGCTGGGCCACCACATTGCCCCAGAGAGCAGGAGACTTACTGTGACTCTGCCATCTTCTGTTTGAGTGCACGGATTGTTCCCTCCAGCTGGTGGACCTCATCTGTTAGCCCGTACTGGACCTGCGAGGTGGGGAGGGAGAAGGCAGTGAACAGAAGTGTTGTTTCCCAAAGCCCACAGTTCTCTCCTTCCCCTCCTAGCCCAGCTATAGCACTTATTTCCTCGCTTTGTGAGGTGACTGTAGGACCCATAGTTCAGCCCCACTGTAGTTTTCTCCAGATGCATCCCCATTTTTCAGGCCAAGCCCCAAGCCCGGGCAGTTGCCCCAGTCCCTCCTGGCAGGACCTGATCCCGACAGAGGTCTACACGGGGCCGATAGGTGCGGGTCTCCAGGCGGGTGTGCGCCACTTTCAGATCCTGCATCTTCCTCCGAAGCTCTTCCTCCAGGTGTCGGATCTCCTCCTCCATCTCAGCAATCTCCTCCAAGGTCTAAGGGTATAGACAAATATCGTGAGGGATAGGCAGGGATACAGACTGGAACACAGCCCCCAGGCCTCCCAGGCTTTTACTGGGCAGGGAACAGATTTTACACACGGGCTGCTGGGCTTCCGAGTGCTGAACCCCACTGCTTGTAGTTTGGGCTCTTCACATGGCGCAGGCATGGTGCTGCTGGTGGCTTATGGCCACAGCAGTTGAGACCAGGGTTTAAATTAATAGGCCAAAACCTGGCATTGCTGCTGAGAAATGCCCAAGCAGCAACTGTGACAGCAGAAGGAGGTAGGATGCTGCAGGGATCACAGATGTGCCGCTTAACAGCTCCCATGTGGAAACCATGCTCAGGTCAAGTAGCTTTCCACATAACAAATAGCCTTTTGGATTCAATTCCCACCCAAGGTTGTGGTTGAAAACCAAAGAAGCCACATTTACGTTCTGCTCCTGCCATTTCAGTTCATCATAGGCTTTTTCCAGGTCTCTAATCCTCTTGCGCAAGGCAAACTCTGTAGCTACACGCTGAGCCTCCAGCTCGTTGTTTGTCTGAAGAGAGAACAGGCTCCAGTCACACACATCTAGAAGATGTTTCAAGCTGCTGCTTGCTGGGTTGGGACAAGTCTACGAGCAAAACCAGCTGGGTTCTGGCAGCTGCCACGCAGCCCCTGCAGCCAAAAGGCAGGGAGTGATGGACAGGTACATGTCTCCCAGGCTGCTGACACCACTGCAAGCTCCACAGCTTCATCAAGCTCCTCTCTTACCTGAGGAGAGGCCTATGGGTCAGTGCTGTCTTTTCAAAGACTCCCTTCCCCCTGGCCACAGCACACGCCAGCCCATTCCCCACCACGGGATCCAGAACTTCTCCACCACCAAAGGGACTAATTTACCTGGGCAATGGCAAGCACTATGGCTTCTCGGAGCTCAGCAGAGGTTTTCATTTCTGCCTCAGCACGCTCCTTGTTGCTCTGGCTGTTCTGTTCCCACTCATCAACCGTAGTTGATCTGTGAACAAAGCAGCAGTTATGAAAACGAGTGTTTGCAAGATGGTTCAAAAGAGACCACCTGCTGCAGGTTGAGGTGGCTTTGTGCAGCACAAAATGATTCAGGAATTCTGGAGGTTGTATTCTGTGTTATTTCCTCACACCAGCTGGAAATAGTTATCCCGTGGCTCCTGCACTGAGCCCAACAGCTGCTCAAACCAGAGATACATCCAAACCGTGCTATGAAACACCAGGAAAGTGAAAATGGGGAGCAACACCCCCCCATAAGCTGTGCCAGGGGCTGATGCCACGCTGCTGGGTAGCCAAGCATGAGGGAGGCAGGGCAGCCAAGCTCCTGGGGATTTGTGGTGACAATTCAGATTAACTCCCAAAAGTCTGTGGCTTCACAATTCAGGAGCCACAACAAATCCCAGAAGCCAACCCCTGTTGAGAGCTCTCTCCAAAACTGCACCCATCAAGCTGGGATGTAGCACAGAAGGAAAAAGCATCCCAGGGCTCTTTGAGCACCAGCACGGATTTGGACACAGAAGTGCAGGTTCTTTCCTTACCCATTTGGGACCCGAGTTGGGTTGACCTTGAAGGAGATGTTGGGAGAGTTGACGCTGAGGGATAAGCACATACGATCCAATTCCAACGCTTCCACCTTGCACTGGTGGTCACTGCTCAGCTGCTGGCGAGCTTCTTGCAAGAGGCTGCAGAAAGCAGGGCTGGGGTCAGCAGTGAGCACACCAAGGGGGAGGCAGCTCAGACTTCCCAAACCTTTCATCACCACATCAGTCATCTCTTCAAGATGAGTGATGAGCTCCTGCCCTCCCACGGAACTCGGCCCAAGTGGGTAAAGCAGCCTGCCTGGCTTCCCTGTGCTCTGCTCCAGCATGATGCTGCTGAGCTGAGCTGCCCACCCTACCATAGCAGGCAGTGACCCACAATGGATTATGGCCCAGGAGCTCTGACACCTCCAGGTCATGAACCAAGGCAGGTGGCACAAGGTATCTTGTTCCAAGGATGCTGATGAAGTCTCTCCCCTGAAATGCTCTACCCTTCAACCCCAAACCCCACAGACCTTGACAGCAACCCTCAGAGGTTCCTCTGGGTGGTTGACTGCCCCTGGCCTGCTTGCCACTGCTCAGCGTGGCAGTGGAGGCACGTTAAACTGCTGGGGCCAAGCAAGGAGGACAGAGCCCGGTCACACTGGCCTCACCAGAGCTGTTCGAAGGCTTCACTCGCTTTCTGCTGCAGCTCTCTCTTGGCTTTGTCTATCAACTTCACCTCCTTGTGCAGCTCCTCCTCCACAGGGTCCCTCACCACGTCGATGGCGCGGCGGCTCTCCCGGAGTGTCAGGCACTCAATGGCAACGTCTAAAGGCAGGTTCTTTGCCTGGAGGGCACGTTCTGCTGCCTCCTTCACCTGGAAGAGGCAACCTGGTGGGTGGGAGCAGTCTCCTTCAGGGATGGGAGAAAGAAAGGAAGGGGAACCCAGCAATACCCTCATTAAGAGGGCTTTGCACTGCCTGTCTTGACAGTTCTGAAACCTTTTAGCAAGTCTGGAATGAAAACTACAAGAGCCAAGCACATTGGTCTTCTACACCTGCTGTTTGCATTGCCCCTGACTGGGGTCTAAGGACTCCAGGAGCAGCACTCTCTGGGTTTAGAACTGAAAGAATCAGAGAGAGGTCCCACCGCTGTCATCTATTTAAAATCAAGCACTTGTGAATGATGCTGCTAACATATTTCTCATCATCCTTCAGAGCTTAAAAAACCCCCAAACTAGAACAACCCAAAAGTCCAAGCACGAGCATGCAATGCACAGCTCCATGAAATGGCATGGCTCAGCCAAGAACACAGCGCTGTGCTTCCCATAAAGCCATTTCATCAGGTATGGGGCTTGGTATACCTGCAGTAAACCCCTCTGAACTCCATATGGGCTTGGCCATTGCAAAAGAAAAGCCTCGATTATTTAACATCCCATGTTGAGAGTCTGAGTTAATTTCCAGCCATCTGTCTTCCCAACATACTTTGGCTAAGGCATCGAGTTCCGCATCTACATCTGCCAGGCATTTGTCCAGGGTCTCCTTCCATCTGTTCACGCTCCGGATACGTTCAGCCAGGCGGGTTCGGTTGTCGTGCTCATCCCATTTCGTCTGGAATTAGGGGAGAAACTCTTGTTCCTAAATTGCAATTGTGAATCTTGCCGAAGCCGTTCCCCGTTTTCAGGATTGCCTGACCCCTCACAGAGTACAGCACCACGCTGCCATCCAGTCTAATGTCATCCACACAAGCAGAGAGCACAGAAAACAACACAAGTTGCAAGGGATCCGAGACTCGCACCCAGGGATTTCCTGCCAGTACACGTGCATCATTGCACGTGGCTTCACAGGAAGTAAACGGAAGTATTTAGCATCTTCTGCACAGGTAAAGCCTTCTCCTACCCCCTCATCCAGACACCCACATCTTGACACCACCCCATCCTCCTCAGCCTGCTCTTCTGGCCGCCCCCCCTGCCGCAAGACCCACCTGGTTGTTGGTTTCATTGCGGAGAGTTCGCGCTTCCTGCCGGACCCGGTGGGACACAGAGCGCTGGCGTTCGGCGTCGGCAGAGATGAGGTGGGAGTTGGTGTGCCAGTCCGGCACCGTGAACCGCTGCCCCGGCTTGACGCTCAGCGTGGCCATCTCGCTAAGCAGGGGACTGAGAGGGAGGGGAAGGCTTCTGGGGTTGTTCATAGACATACATTGGAAATGGAGACGCAGCCACGAACTGGAATGCTCTTCAGGAGAAAAGCAGCAGCAGGCTCTAACCTGGCATGTAGCGTAACGC